TATTAATATTTCCACAACGCATCTGCATTTTATCTATTAGTCAATTATTAGCACAATTATTATCAACACAGCACTCCAGACACATCCATAGCCGACATGATCCACACTGAAGAATACCACAAGCGTAAAACACTGATGAGGCCTGTATTGTATGACGATGCTTTATAACACCGACGTTTGATTAATCATCACACGATAACGCATTTGATCTATTAGGCTGGTTAATTTCATTTAGTAATATACATAATATGAATGTGAAGTACAAACACGCACACGCCGAGAGAGGGAGAAATATAGAATTATACTGGAGGGGGAAATGTGTGTGTGTGTGTGTGTGAGAGAGAGAGAGAGAGACGCACACGCGCGCACACACACACAGAAAGAAAGAGAGAGAAACAGAGAGAGAGAGACAGAGAGAGAGAGACCCACACGCGCGCGCACACACACACACACAGAAAGAAAGAGAGAGAAACAGAGAGAGAGAGACCCACACGCGCGCGCACACACACAGAAAGAAAGAGAGAGAAACAGAGAGAGACAGAGAGAGCGAGACCCACACGCTCGCGCACACACATACAGAGAAAGAAAGAGAGAGAAACAGAGAGAGAGAGAGAGACGCACACACGCGCACACACACAGAGAAAGAAAGAGAGAGAAACAGAGAGAGAGAGAGAGAAAGAGAGAGAGAGAAACAGAGAGAGAGAGAGAGAGAGAGAAACAGAGAGAGAGAGAGAAACAGAGAGAGAGAGAGAGAGAGAGAGAGAGAGAGAGAGAATATTATAAAGAAGTAAACAAATGTAAAGGACATTTTTCTACGCCTTTAGGCGTATAGGACATACGGGGCTAGACCTTATTTTAAAGATCAATCGTCACAAGATGGGTGATGTGTTCAGTATCACGCCGGCCGCCTTTATTTCCCAGGATGGCACCCGGTACCCACTCAAGGCTGGGTCGACCTGGGAGTCAAGGTCCTTTTTGAAAAAAAGTCCGGCTCCTATAAAGAAAAGGGAGAAGTAAGAGAGAAAGAGAGAGAGAGAGAGCGAGAGAGAGAGAGAGAGAAATAAAAAGAGAGAGACGGAGAGAGAGTTATAAAGGAGGGAAAGAGGTAAACGAGACAACGAGACAAATATAAAATGAGAGAGAAAACACAGAGAGAGAGAGAGAGAGAGAGAGAGAGAGAGAGAGAGAGAGAGAGAGAGCGAGAGAGAGAGAGAGAGAGAGAGAGAGAGAGAGAGAGAGAACTAACCAGCTTTATTCTGAAAGGGTTAAGAATTGGGTAGGTATGGTCGTCTAACATTCTGTCCTTCTGGTCATACTACTGCCATATATTATTTCATTCATGCATGTTCAATAGGCAAGCAGAGCGAGAGAGAGAGAGAGAGAGAGAGAGAGAGAGAGAGAGAGAGAGAGAGAGAGAGAGAGAGAGAGAGAGAGAGAGAGAGAGAGAGAGAGACGAACTAAAAAACGGAGCTTTATTTTCAAAAGGCCATAGACTGGCAATCATGTCTGTCTGTCTGGTTGGGGGGTCGCCACAATATTAGAACCTGTATTAAATAGTTGTAGCATTAGGAGGGTTGAAAACCACTGATGTAGAAGATGGACCGCAGAAATATCAGACACTGAAAAGTTATTTTTACGAAGCGAACAAAAGAGCCCTTTCCAGAGATCTCTATTTGCCCTGACGCCGCGAGGTATTCCAGAAGTGCAGAAAAGAAGAACCAGACGAGAGTTGCCACCTAATTTGTTGTTAGTTACTTCTTCTTCTTCTGCGTTCGACATCAGTCATGCTTCACACTGAGTCCCGTCTGGGTCACAAATAGGATTGTGCGTTTAAGGTCGCCACCGGTCCCCCATAGCTTCTCTCGCAATGTGGATTCCCTGGGTTAGATACACAGTCTTTGCTGGGAGAGGTAAAGGCTGTACTGCAGTATGTGCTCAGGGGTCTGTCTTTCTGCTCCACAATCACAGTTACGTATCCACAGTTACGTTATGTTAGTTACGTATCCTTTACATGACATAACAGAACCAACTACATAACAGAACCAACTCCAAAATTTTTTTGCTGTTGGGGTTTGTCCGGGCAAATTTACAAACAGTAGTTTGCCATTGCAGTTTGGACAGTCGGCTTCTCGATAACACTGTATAAACCAATCACCTAATATGGGAAATAATAAAAACAAAAATTCTTTGCATGACAAAAGTAATTATTCTATGTACTTGTCTCCCTTTTGTGCAGATATTCAACTTGACCATCGGAGACAAAGTTAGAAATGATATTATCAGACAGACCGTTGGAACAACACTATGCTGCAAATTCATTGAGAAACAGAAGATCAGATGGTTTGGTCATTTAGTAAAAACTCAGCGAGAACAACTGCCCATGCAGGCGTTACACATGAAAGGATCTGAAGTGAAAGCAAGAGGCCGTCCAAGGAGAACATGGACTGATGACATTAAAGAGCTTCCACATCGACATGGAATGACAGTAGTCATTGCTTTCCATCTAGCAACTGATTATAAACTGTTCCTCCCCACAACACTTAACGGCAGAAGTGGAAACTGTTGATGATGATGATGGTTCATAAAAAAAATTTGCCATTACTGTCTTATTTGCCACCTTTCTGGTATAGGCGAGGGTGTAAAGTTAGGGGAATAGGAATGGAGGGTGTTTAACATACGGTTGTGAATTCATGACAGTTAATAACAGGCCTAACAATTTCTTGAGTCCTCGGAGTCATGAGAACCCTAAGAATTCTTTGGACAGCTGAAAAGAGCAACCCAGATGTTGTGAAAGACACGAGGCCTCAAAGACAACTAACTTATCACAAACATCAAAAAAGAAACAATCAAAAAATTGTTGATCATATAATGAGAAAATGGAAACCGGAACATGTTGTAACCACCGGAAAGAGCTGTGCAAAGAGACAGAGAGAAGGACATCACGAAGAGATTCTTTACAACCTTTTGTCACGGCATGGGGTAGTGTCAACACACGAAAATACACGCGTTGCGGATCGCAAATTGTGGAGACGCATGAGCGCCCACGCTTGTAGGCAAGGCACTTGATGATGATAAAGAGGACGATGATGATGATGATGATGAGGATGATGACGACAATGATGATGTCTAGTGTTAAAAGCCACAGACTGGCTTATTTTTACCGCGGACAGAAAAAACAATTCCATAAGCGTGAAAAAGGTTTCGAACCTGCGTCTCTCAGGTGATTGCCTATCGTTCTTAACCGTTCAACCAGCCGAACCTCATACTGCAAACTCAAGCAGATCATTTGACCCCCAAGGTCAAGCGTGTGCGTTTAGACGCCAGTCTTGGGAGTAAAATTATTGGACCCACTGCAGACTTAACAAGCATGTCGTAAAAACCGACAAATCAGAGTATTGCTGAAATCGTGCGTGGTGGACCAAAAGGCACATTTATCGCTGCCTAGTTGTAAATCATAACGCAGTGTGCAGATCGCCCTATTAGGGGAGGTAGCAGCAGCAGCAGCAGACAAAGAAGAAGAAGAAGAAGAAGAAGAAGAAGAAGAAGAAGAAGAAGAAGAAGAAGAAGAAGAAGAAGAAGAAGAAGAAGAAGAAGAAGAAGAAGAAAAGGCAATTAGACAGACACAAGGGGGGAGTGTGGGGGTGGATAGATGGAATAATGGATGGATGGACACCCTCAATACCCCTCCCCCACCCCCCCCCCCCCCACCAACACAGACACGCTGACAGGCATACAGATAGAAACAGACACATGAATGGTTAAAATATAAATCTGGATAATGGGAACATTGCACTATATTTAATTATTCCAGATAAACCAGAAAAAAACATATTTTCCACTTCAGTGGATGCCAACAACAAAATATGTCATGTAGTAATAATATATTGCGATACAACATAATAATGACACTAATGTCATAACTTACTGTAAATATTTCAAGAGACAAAACAAAATTGCAATTATCACAATTACCAGCACAATATATTAAACGGAACTATCTATCCTCCCGTAGTCTGTTAATACATAATCTATGCATTATTAAAAAGCTAAAATTTCGAAACAGTAAAAAAACAAAACAACAAAAAACACCAACTGTGTATCCCAATAATAACTCGAATAGTTGATTCAATTACTGTTGCCAAGAATCTCCAATTTTAACAGATGAAATGAGAGAAAAACGTAATGTTAACAAAATTGGCTTCGAAGATTGAGTTATAATAATACTATTTAGTCATTTCTTTTGAAGCAAAGACGCCTGTGCTAGTTGGAACATGTCTCTCTTTCTTGTTAGCAGCATTAATCATCTTTTATTGAATTGCGGCGGTTACAAGAGCATCACCTGGTAAGACACAGAGTTTTTCTAATTCCATTATCAAGCTTAAAGAAGAGCATGACAGGTTGGGTTCGAAGACAATGGATGGATTCTCTGGTGAAATCTCGCCGGACCAGAATCAGTGTAACCCCCCCCCCCCCCCCCCTTTTCCCCCCAGGAAACTTTGGGGAAAGAAACAATGAATGAGCGGAAGGACTTACTGGTAGGGTCACGGTAGGCAAAGAAAAACCAATGGACTGAGCCTATGTTTTCAGGCTCTTACGGAGCCAGGACAAACAGACGATTGATGAGTTGAGTGATGGATTGGTAGTCTTGACAAGAACCTCATGTCAAAAGAGGTGTTGCCAGAAACGAACACTACATAAGTAGCCAAAGAAGAATAGTAAACCAACATAGAACTGGTGTTATCGGTCGCCATATGCTGAGGGAGATACTGAAGATGTATCAATACGCGTATGGAATTATCCTATGTGTGACGCGGACGATCGGTCGATTAATTAACTAATTAAACAATTATCCTAAATATATATATAAGCATCAGATTTCCTGCGTGTCTTGCCCAGAATCATACAATCTACTTCAATAACCTAAGATGTGGCTGCGCAAAGAGCAACTTTTCCTTGTCTGCATCATCTTCCCTTTCCAACAGAGGATATGAAAAGCGTCTCTAACTACTGTAATATGCATACAACTCATCTCTTATATCAGTAAAACCATATAACTCGAAATCCATTGCATACACTTGGCTTATCTTCTCAAAAATTGCCTTCGATAAAGACAGAAAAACTTTCTTTCTAAATTCATTCTTAGCTGCCTTCATTCTATTCGGGTTCTGAAGCCCAGATTTCCTTGCTGCCCTAACCTGGACCATAAAATCTTCCTCGATATCTTTGAGATCTGTCAGCTCTGGGAGCTTGTAGTCAACGTCTGGATCGATATAGCCTCTCCATCGGAAGTTGTACCACAAGCGGTAGGCAATCTCCTTTGGGGAGAGGCAAGGCTTGTAGAAGGCGAGGGTAAAGTTTCTGTAGAAGCGATGGAAGTTGAAGTAACTGATGATGTTGATTTCCTCATCAATCTGAAAGTGAGACACAATACAACAAGCGCTTAATAAATAATTGCCCTTTATAGCCATTTAACTAGCACCAGTAAAGAAAAGAGAAGGATAGAACGAATTGGCGTGAGATGGCTTAGGACCTATGCTCCATTGGGAGATAGACTGGTGTCACGGAGTGAACAACCAACCCTACACTTTGGACTATTCGTGACGTTGACACCCCTAGCGGGCAGGTCACATTTCAAATTTAAACAAGTCCTGTGGGTATATAGTCCCTCATATTGATATATACCTCTATCTGGTGGAATAAACATTTCTAGACCCTCTAGTTGTTTTGAGAAGTCTACATTTTCAAACTTGCAACTGTGAGATAAATAATTTCTGGAATAATATTCCGATATTCCTGTAAGCCTTTTTACTCCTGGGGCACTAATACAGGACTTCTTTTTTAGAGACGCCAAGCGGAATCTGGCACTGGCATTCTTTGCCAGACCTCAGAGGTGTCGAGAGGCATTTCAATTCTCTGATTAAACTTTGGCGCATTCAAAATACCAGTTTAATCTTTGAAGGATTCCTAAGCTTGGGTAAGTTGATTATAGTTTACGAGCACCATTACATATGTCTCTTTAAAGTTTGCCAATGCTGCAGGGAGGGAAGATTCAGCTGTGTGACCGCACAGAAATAGACCGTTCTTGGTGTCCAAACACTCAACCCCCTAAAATCAAACATTTCCCTTCGCAGGCTAATAGTTTGTGCCCTTCATGACCCACACCATTATAGAGATATTAAACCTAGCAAGTTAATTATTCTCTAACCAGACAACCGAGTTGTTTCGATCAGCAGACATATTAAACTAGGTCACCCTTCAGCCGGCTAGACGCTGTGACGTCAGAGGTTGGTTTTAGCACAACACAGTGTGTGGGATGAGCAGACGGTGGATGGTATAAAATATATATGTGAGAGAGAGATGGGATGTATATATACAAGTGCATGAGGGCGAGGAGAGTTGATGTTCTATGTTTGATAGTCTGTCTCCACTCTGGTACTCATCTCCTGTCCCTGTTACTGACTGAACAATAGAGATGACATGTAGAGACTTATACTGTCTCATTATCCTAAGATCTGTCCTCTGAATGATTACTAATGTGGATGTTAATAAACTGAGCTTGACATGTAAACCCTGAGATGACTGCTAATTCTGAGTTCCTTCTTGATACAGGATGATATCTCCTTGGAGACCAGGCAGTGCATCAGCGGTCCACAAAACCACCTACAAGGAAGTCACCTATGTCTAAGCCAGTGGTGGGCATCAGATTGTAAACCAAACTTTTGTCATCAGTTAATGAAATCCTCCAGTTAGTCTACAGACAACATTATGGGTGTTGTACCTTTACCATCATTTATCCGGCAGCTTGTTTGTGCCTCAAATGTTTGACTTGATACCCGAAATCCTCTCCATGAGCTTGGGTGTATCTCCAGTGTTGGAGTGTCTAGTGTGGGACTGTCTTCAACTTAACACCAGAGTGACTGAACATCCAACAAGTTCAAGAAACCAGGGATTCAGATAAGTGTGGTCAATCATTGGTTTTTTGCCAGGCTTCACTATTAATCGTCCACATTATCATAATGATGATCTAGGCGAACTCTGGGACATTATTACACATTCAGTCGGATCAATTTTGAAGTTTTGGTCCTTCATATCACTCTGGGTTCTTGAAGTTCTTTGCTGATTCTTATATAATGTATGTGTTGCAATTATTACATCCATTCCGAAATTTTCATGGCTGACTTGGGTGTCTCTGTTTCACTATTATAACTGTCTAGCTTTGATGTCTGTGTGAGTAGTACGTGTAATCTGTGTTTATATGGCTTTGATAGTATGCTATCATAGCCTGGGGGGCTATCTTTTTATAGTAGTGGGGGTGTCCAGCCAAGTGTGCCTAGGAATATTAGATATTCTGTAGTGCCAGAGCTTGAGTTGCCCTACTCCTGAAATATGTTGAGCGTATATTGGCCACGGGATATCCCTTAGACCAATACGAGCCGACGCCTCAACATTATTATTTCAGAGTGCTGTTGGTTTTTAAGGAGAAATCCTTAAATCAGGCACGCGACACGAGCGGTATGTGACAACTGGCAGAAGAAGAAGAAGTAAAGAAATATCATACTGCACGAGATCACAACAGTTGCTTGTATTTTCCAGCTGGGTCCTGAAACATTTAAAGACAGAAACCGGCAAAGAGCAGAGCAAAAAACAACTAGAAAACGAAACCTTGAGTCTGAAGACAGAAAGAAAGAGAGAAGCTGAAAATGAGAAGGAACAACACACCGAGCACAGTGGTAATTGTCAAATCAGAAGCGACGGATATCCCAAGCTTCATAAACACAAACACAAAAAGTATAGCAGAAAGCTGAGCCCCACAAACCAAAACTACAACAGTGCCTGTGCTGTCAAAAGGCTATTCATGACAGCTGCAATAGCAAAGTTGAGACCTGTAGATATGGCTCTAAAGCACACTCTTTTATCGAATGTCTTCAGGCCAAAAGGTTCTAAAAACCAAATAAAAACAGGAAATTTGTCAATTGTTTCAGGAATCATGGGACCACACACCTCGGTTGCCTGTACATCCAAAACGCAAAAATACGACAATCACCTCGATCGATGAGAACATGGGTAAAACGAAGCACGAAGGAGAAGCGAGGCAGCGCGGGGGATGTCTACCAAAAAAAGAAGGCGACTCCTGACTCAGATCAAAGATCTGGAGAAACGTTTGAGCAAGACCCACTCCACACAGACGCACAACGGAAACAAATACGACAGCCCTGAAAACAGACAACCCGTCAGAAGATGAGAACTAGACCACGTACCAAGCAAGTCGACTGACTGACTTTCTACCCCACTAGGACATCACACAAGCGATAAACACCCGATGACACAAAGTGCCACCATGTGGATGAGGATCGCCGTGGAGAGGTCCCAGAAAACGCGTTCAGACAATTGGCTATATTTATGGCCTGCCTATATTGCGGTCCCTGGCAAAAGCCAGGGTGGGGCTTCAAATAATAAAAAAAAAAAAGTCATCCTAAAAATGACTAAACTGGATTTAAACACCAAGCAAGTAACTCAGACGTATGGTTATCGAAAACATACTTCGGCCTTGCACCAGCCAATGGCAAACAAGCCAGGGGCACGCCGTTTCAGAAGAGACAGGCCTAGCTTTTATCAAAATTATGTTCTTTCCGCTCTGGCAACGCCAATATGACACTATATGATACACACACCAGCGCAGGAGACGTCCTTAGCCATCAAGATACAGCCTCTCGACAAGAGACTACAAGTAGCGAAGTAAACACAAGTTGGAAAACATGCTAGCGTAGTACAAAAACATGCGGAAGCGGAAAGGAAGAAACAATATAAAACATCCTAACTATAACGTCACTGAATGGATAGAAAGGGAGCAGTTATAGGAATGATAGAAAGAATGAGAGAATGATGAGGACGAGGAGGAGGAGTCTACGGGTAGAATGGCTGATAAAGCCAACGCTTTTAACAGAGTTACGATACGACGCTTATATACAGGAACATACATTATAACAGTTAATCATAGGAACATGCATTACAACAGTTATATACAGGAACATACAACATTTATATACAAGAACATACATTACAACAGTTATATACAGGAACATACAACATTTATATACAAGAACATACATTACAACAGTTATATACAGGAACATAAATTCATTCATTCATTCAGTAGCATGTCCCTCGCGGAACCTCGCTGCCATAACAACCCTCCGGAAAACCTTCCTATCCTGAGCAAGATGTCCTGCGTCTGATACACCCATCTGGAGATCATCTGCCACATCCTGCACCCATCTTCTCCTTGGCCTTCCTCTTCCTCTCTTCCCAGGCATATACCCCTCCATTATTGTTCTCTCTAGACTTCCATGACGTTTCAAGTGACCAAAATATTTCAATTTTCTTTGTTTTATTGTCTTTACTAGCCAACCCTCTTCAATATTCAGCACTTGAAGTATGGATGCATTTGTTCTTTTCTTTACCCAAGATATTCTTAGAACCTGTCTGTAACATTTATATTCAAATGCATTTATGCGCTGTTCCGCTTGTTTAGTAAGTGTCCAGGTCTCACAGGCGTATGTTGCAATGGGAAAGATGCATGCTCTTAAATATCTGACCTTTGTAATTCTATCTGTACAATTCCATAATTTATTCAGTTGTTTTAGTCTTTGAAGAGCAATTGATAGTCGCCGTTTAATTTCTTTCATTGTGTCACCATTGTTGGTAACTAGTGACCCAAGATATTCGAAATTTTCCACCACTTCCAATCTTTCCTCATTAACATGTATTTCCTTCTCCATGGCAGTAAATTACATAAATTACAACAGTTATATACAGGAACAAACATTACAACAGTTATATACAGGAACAAACATTACAACAGTTATATACAGGAACATACATTATAAAAGTTATATACAGGAACAAACATTACAACAGTTATATACAGGAACATACTTTACAACAGTTATATACAGGAACATACATTACAACAGTTATATACAGGAACATACATTACAACAGTTATATACAGGAACATACAACAGTTATACACAGGAACATACATTACAACAGTTATATACAGGAACATACATTACAACAGTTATACACAGGAACATAAATTACAACAGTTATACACAGGAACATGAATTACAACAGTTATATACATGAACATGAATTACAACATACATACATACATACATACATGAATTACATACATACATATATACAACATACATTACAACAGTACATACATGAACATACATTACATACAGTACATACATGAACATACATTACAACAGTACATACATAACATGAATACAACAGTTATACATACATGAACATGAATTACATACAGTTATATACATACAACATACATACATACAGTACATACATACATGAACATGAATTACAACACATACATACATACAACATGAATACATACAACAGTTATATACATGAACATGAATTACAACACATACATACAGGAACATACATACATACAGTTATATACATAACATGAATACATACAACAGTTATACATACATACATACATACAACAGTACATACAGGAACATACATACATACAGTTACATACATGACATAATTACATACAGTACATATACATACACATGATACACAACATACATACAGGAACATACATTACAACAGTACATATACAGGAACATACATACAACATACATACATACATACATACATACAGTTATATACATACAACATGAATTACATACAGTTATATACATGACATGACATTACATACAGTACATATACAGGACATACATACACACACACACATACATACATGAACATACACATACATACATACATACATACATACATACACATACATACACACACACATACATACATACATACATACATACATACAGTTACATACATACAACATACATACAACACATACATACATGAACATACAATTACAACAGTTATATACAGGACATACATTACATACAGTTACATACAGAAACATACATTACATACAGTTATACATACATACATACATACATTACAACATACATACATACATACAACATACATTACATACAGTTATACATACATACATACATTACAAGAGTTATATACATAACATACATTACAACATACATACAGGAACATGAATTACATACAGTTACATACATACATACAACAGTACATACATACAGGAACATACATTTCAACATACATACATACATACATACATTACAACAGTTATACACACATACATAAATTACAACAGTTATATACAGGAACATACATTACAACAGTTATATACAGGAACATACATTACAACAGTATTTACAGAAACATACATTACATACAGTACATACAGGATACATACAACATAGTTATATACAGGAACATACATTGCAACAGTTATACACAGGAACATAAATTACAACAGTTACATACAGGATACATACATTACAACAGTTATACATACATACAACATACATTACAACAGTTATACACAGGAACATAAATTACAACAGTTATACACAGGAACATACATTACAACAGTACATACAGGAACATACATTACAACAGTTATACACAGGAACATAAATTACAACATTTATATACAGGAACATACATTACAACAGTTATATACATACATACATACATACAACAGTTATATACAGGACATACATTACAACATACATACACACAACATAAATTACAACAGTTATACACAGGAACATAAATTACAACAGTTATATACAGGAACATACATTACAACAGTTATACACAGAAACATAAATACATACATTTATATACAGGAACATACATTACAACAGTTATATACATGAACATAAATTACAACAGTTATATACAGGAACATACATTACAACAGTTATATACATGAACATGAATTACAACAGTTATATACAGGAACATACATTACAACAGTTATATACAGGAACATACAACAGTTATATACAGGAACATAAATTACAACAGTTATATACAGGAACATACATTACAACAGTTATATACAGGAACATACATTACAACAGTTATTTACAGAAACATACATTACAACAGTTAATACAGGAACATACAACAGTTATATACAGGAACATACATTGCAACAGTTATACACAGGAACATAAATTACAACAGTTATATACAGGAACATACATTTCAACAGTTATATACAGGAACATACATTACAACAGCTATATACAGGAACATACATTACAACAGTTATATACAGGAGCATACATTACAATAGTCATATACAGGAACATACATTACAACAGTTATATACAGGAACATACATTACAACAGTTATACACAGGAACATACATTACAACAGTTATATACAGGAACATACATTACAACAGTTATACACAGGAACATACATTACAACAGTTATATACAGGAACATACATTACAACAGTTATACACAGAAACATAAATTACAACATTTATATACAGGAACATACATTACAACAGTTATATACAGGAACATACATTACAACAGTTATATACAGGAACATACATTACAACAGTTATATACAGGAACATGAATTACAAGAGTTATATACAGGAACATACATTACAACAGTTAAATACAGGAACATACAACAGTTATATACAGGAACATAAATTACAACAGTTATACACAGGAACATACATTACAAAAGTTATATACAGGAACATACATTACAACAGTTATACACAGGAACATACATTACAACAGCTATATACAGGAACATACAACAGTTATTTACAGGAACATACATTACAACAGTTATACACAGGAACATAAATTACAACAGTTATATACAGGAACATACATTTCAACAGTTATATACAGGAACATACATTACAACAGCTATATACAGGAACATACATTACAACAGTTATATACAGGAGCATACATTACAATAGTCATATACAGGAACATACATTACAACAGTTATATACAGGAACATACATTACAACAGTTATACACAGGAACATACATTACAACAGTTATACACGGGAACATACTTGGGCGGAACCTTCCAAACGCTGCACGATATTCTCTACCTTCATATGGGAAAGAATCACTTTAGCGTCTGCAGAAAATGTCTCCATTCTAATGATATGTGTTGGTTTAAATTTGCAAGGGTTGCAGATTTTGTGAACTGGCCACCAATGCTTATCATAAATCCTAAAACTACTTTCAACAAATTCTGAAAACGTCACGTATTTCCCACATTTGCTTTTACTTGAGTTGTTGTCAAATACTTTAGCTATTTCGTTGAAATGCTTCCTCAAAAAGTCTTGGCGTCTGTTCGATAATGAATGTTGATACCGTTTTTTAGCTATTGCAACGCCGTGTAGGCTCCACAAAGCTGGGAGATACAATTTATCTAAATAAGCAGATAACAGTCGAGAGTACGGGTCTCTTGTGACGACAAGTCTTATGGGGTACTTGGTGAAATTTGTGTTGCCCTCTTGGGCAGCTCGATGATTTGGGCTATGTACCTCTTCTCGTGACATAGAGCTGATGATTTCAGCTGTATCATTAGTCTGTGAATAGACAAATGTAGCATGTTATCTTATTTAGTCGACAGAACATCCCTACTGCACAAAAAACCGTTCAGTCCGTTAAAACCTCCGATCATCTGCTCAGTAAATCCAAAAGTGTGTTGCCAATGATGACCCTAGTTCTGTGTTTATTTATACTCCTTCTCTCACTTCCTGCATAGTTGACACCACTTTAAACTTGATGTTTTTCAGTGCAGTCATAGTTGCAGATTCACAGTCATCATATGATTTTCGGAAACTTCGTATGTTTTGTAGAGCAATTAAAATCTCAGCGTGTCTACTACTCTTCCACCCTCCATGGTAGCTTTACCTGTAAGCCTATTGTCTTGATTATTTCTCTTTATATCTTTGTGCTGTCATCAATATTAAACATCTTTAAACATCATAAGCATATCAAGAGAAAAAAAATAGTTAAAAGGTGTAGTGTCAGTGTAGTCCTGAAATAAGAGAACGAAAGGAGTGTCAAAACTAAATACTGACAACGAAGCCTCTCTTCTCATTATGTGCGAAAATAAAATGTAATACGAATTTGCAAAGATCAAGAATTTGTGGTAAAGTCCTGTTAGAAACAGGGGTCGATAAGCATGTCAGGACATAACCGGGGTGACATTTTACGAGCCATAAAAGGACAGAGTGGTTTTATGAGTATCGCGTTGAGACTGAAGCCCGGCAAAGGATGAGCCGCCTGATGGCCATAAACTGTTGTTGTTGTTGTTGTTGGAAATTTCCATGTGTTTCCAAAAAAGTTTTCATTGTTGTAACCGGGTTTCTTCATGCAGGATGGTACCTAAGTCTGCCTACAACTTAGAACTTATGTAGCGCCAAGTTACTGAGTTCAGTGCTTGGTATAACACTGTGAGCTATGGATCTTTTTGTTCTTTTCTTCTGCTGTCGTCTCACTGATGACAAGTTGTAGCCCAGTGTCGTGACTTTCTGTATTTGTCTTGCGCTTTTGAGGTGGCTTGGGTGATGGATTTGTTCATCATTTTGCAGGTTTCTACTGCACCATTTATCCATCTCTTTCTTGGTCTTCCTCTCAAACGCTCTGCTGTAAAGTCTCCTATAAAGTCTGGTCTGGTGGCTTTCTCACTAGATGGCTGAACCATTTCATTCTTTGTCTGTAGGTATAATCCAGACATAGTCTTATTCCAACTTTCTCTCAAATGCTGGTTTCATAACGCTGTTTCTTCTTGTGTTGTTGGTGACCTTGCGGAGACAGCACATTTCGCATGTGGTCATTTTATGTTCTAGTGTCCGATTTATTGTCTTTATTAGGCACTGATAAAATTAAGTAGCCAAAAAGATGCTAATAATCATTTGCTGTTTTGCTGGAAGGGAGACATTCCGGTGTCTAAGTAAAAAGTGGTAAACATTTAGATTACTTTTTTGTTCCTACTATTTTTATATATTATCACTACTACTTTCATGAAAATTTTTCTAGCCCTTCTTAATCCATCCTACATCACCCCTTCCAACAATTTAAAACAAACAAAAAAAAAAATAGTTTCTCACGTGACCCCTTGGTGATTGGAGTACTCTTCTCTCTGTTACTGTTGTGTAGTTTTTGTCGAGCACTCTGGCCGAAACGTCGATTTATGTTGTGTTGTGCACATTTTTCTGCTTTCCTAATTCGTTGAGTTTTCAAGTCACAGTTCATTTAATTAATCTCTTGGATGTCTAAGCTGTGGAGCCAACTGGTGGGTAACAGCATTTGCCATCTATTCTCTGGCTTCTATCTCTCTATCGAGTCTGCCATTATCTGTAAATATTCTGTCCACGTACTTGAATTCTCGAACGTGTTTGATTGTAGCACCGTTCCCATGAACGTTCGTGATATTATGTTTCCTGCCTATCCTTATTGCCTCAGTTTTCGCAGTGTTTATTCTCATATCATATTGTGTGCAGGTTTGATGTAAGTAGTCAATATGTGTATTAAACATTGATCGTCTGCAAAAAAAGAAATTTAGGGGTCTGCGTGGTATCACGGCATGGTGTCCGCCTCGAGTGCTAGAGGTTCCAGGTTTAATACCCGGCAAGGCTGGGATTTGTTCACGTGGACTAGAACTTTTAGTAATTCCCCCTGGTCTTTGGGTATAAAGATCGGACTCCGTGTGCATTGTTGTGCACGTAAAAAAAAAATCACATGGCAGTTGGAAATCGGAAAGAGTAGCCTAACAGCGCTGCCCGGGCAACGTTTCGAGTTAAAAATCTACCCAAAGTATTTCAGGATCCTCCTCGGTGCTGCAGAGCCTGTGCACTGTGCTGAGCTTCTTCAGACTCAAACTTGAGTTAGACGAATAACCTATAACATTTCCACAATGTAAGGGAAAAGATGTATACATATTAAAACTTCATATGCCCACCCCTGTTATATCAGCTGTCATGAATATACTTTAATAATAATTTGCATGTAATTCCATTGTACTGAACTGATTTTTTTTTTTACAAGTGCAAGAACGCAAGTGAATCCAGCGGCGAGGAAAAGACGCTAACTTTGGGATGATACATTATGAGCAAATTTTATGAAAATATAACAAGAATCTCTTTGAATTAAAGTTTGATGAAAATTTAACTAGAATCTCATTGAATTAAAGTTTGATGACAATTTAACTAGAATCTCATTGGATTAAAGTTAGATGAAAATTTAACTAGAATTTCATTGAATTAAAATGTGATAAAAATTTAACTAGAATCTCATTGAATTAAAATGTGATGAAAAAATTAATAGAATTTCATTGAATTAAAGTTTGATGAAAATTTAACTAGAATCTCATTGAATTAAAGTTTGATGAAAATTTAACTAGAATCTCATTGAATTAAAATGTGATGAAAATGTAACTAGAATCTCATTAAATTAAAATTTGATGAAAATATAATTAGAATCTCTTTGTATTAAAATTGTATGGAAATATAATTAAAATCTCATTGTATTAAAATTTAGACTTAAAAAAAAATCAAAGTAGGTAAACATACAATGAAGATAGCTAAAGAATAAGGTGAGAAATAATGAGGAGAATATTGAACGTGCTAAGTGATGAGCTGACCTAGGATAAAACGATTTGGTCTAAGCTTTATTCGGAGAACAAAAAGACAAATGAAATGGGAAAGTCGTATGTCTTCTCAATATATATACATGTGGTCTGGTAGTCTGGTAGTCTTAGCTTCAGCTTCATAGCAAACGGGTCACCCCATCTTTGCTCCGCTCCTGGGCCAACTAAAAACACACAGAATATTTATCACAGTATTAGAATTGCAGTTCATCATTGATGGTAGCAGAAGTCGCCAACAGATCAGCAGTTGCCCACGCGATCAATTTTAATCACATACGGGCACCACAACATTGCACGACAAGCATCCGCCATTTTCTGAATCTACAATTCACACCAACACATTGGTCACAGTCGAAAAAACATTCCAGATGCAATCCGCAGCTCACAGGGTCACGCCATGCATTCAACTCAGAAACTATATCCAGTCTACAAATGGAGCAAAAATGCATCGGCCACCGTCCGGCAGAAGCAAAAAAAATTGCCTGTTTCGAACAGTGCCGCTGCCTAACGTCTATTTTGACCGGAAGTTCATATATATATATGCGTGTGTGTGTTTGTTTGTGTGTGTGTGTTGGTTCTGCAACGTCCTATAAAAAAAAACACAACAGTTGTTTTTTAAAGATGTATAAGGTATTTACCCTAATGGCTTGCTTTACAAGCATTGCTAGCGTGTAGATGTCCGACTCTGTTGAAACCCTTTGAGCAGTATAAGAACAATAGACTAACCAGGGGGTTATCAAGCAGCATCACCATCATCATCAAGAAACCGGTTCTGTACAGGAAGGTGGATCCATCAGAGCCTGCTTGAAGAAAGCTCGGTTCATTGCCAGCTTTCATGCGTCATACACCTTTCTGTCCAATGTGTCCCTTGTGTTTTATTACCATCTTGGTGCTACGGGGCCCCTGTCTCTCATACCTGGTAGCATGCCCTAAATCATTATTCTGTCCATGTTATTCTTGTGTATCATCATCATCATCATCATCATTATCATCAGGGGCCTTGCCGACTGGCGTGGACAATTGTGACGATACGCTCGGTGACTTCAGAATGTCTTTCCTCAACCTACTTTTATTTCTGTGTATTTTTAAGTATACAGAAATAAATGGATTTGGATACATCCTTAATCTAAGTAGGCGACCTGAACAAACATTTAATTCTTCTGGACTGTAAGTGATATCAAAAACAAAAATTTTCCCCAGATATTAAGTGTTAAGATACAGAGATAAGACTGACAAGCTCAGACTTCGTGACTGAATTTCCCTTGCCAAAACTTAGGTGTCAGATAATTATCTTCTAGCCAGACTTCTGGCTAATTGCCATTATTTCCCCCTTGAGGTTACCCAACTTTAGAGCGGGTCAGATCGCCAATATTGACATGGTCTGGTGGAGGCGTTAGCAAACAATTGGCAGGTTGAAGTAGGCTGGAGACGTTGTTTATTAGCTTTGACCATGCTTGTAAACCAGGAGAATGTAGCGTGGGAATGTAAACAAGTTTTGTACAGTCTTGACTGACAGTTAATAGACTTACCCACGGGGAGGAGCTGTGACATCTTTGAATGAGAGTGGTTTTAGGAGTAACGTAGGAGGAGCTTAAAAGAAGTTATAAAAGTATGAACTCTAGGACTGGTAAATGAGACTCTGTCAAGAGCATGCCATCTGTTGGGCTTAAAACCTAAGCTAGAGACAGAACTTTTGGCACTGTGGTTTCATTTCCAGGTAAGAAGCGAAATTAGTTCAAAACCTTTATTTCTGATAGAAACTTTTTGCTCAAGTGTGTGTCTTCATCACTTTGTAGTACTCCTTAACGGACATTTCTCCCTTTTCTTAGGGTACTGTCACATTGCTTTATATCGTAATTGATATTGTAATGAATGTTTTTCGTGCACATGTGTTTCAGTGTTGTAAAACTTAAATGTTGATGTTACCATTGAAATTTAATGAACTATCATGTTTTTGAAACCACAAGCGTGAAGATAAATTTGGCAATCTTGTCACGTGTAGTTAATGTGAATCTGTATTACATACAGCTAACACACTGAAATGTGTTTAACTCCCGAGAGGCTAATGCGGAGATTGATCCCGGAGAGTAAATCCACGAGATTTGTTATTTGATTCGCCCCAGAAATAATGTTAGCATTCTGGGCGCGTCCATTGTTCTAATCATGGATTCCAGAACTTGTTCTGCCTGACTGATTGTCATTTTGAGTCTGTACGAGAGTTGACATCAGACATAGAAGACTTAACTATCATTACAGGACGTGAGTAGAGGAAGGCAGGAAATGTAACGGCTGGAATGTGAGACATAATCCCTTCCAAAATGGACAGGAGTGAATGTGAAAATGAGGGAGAGATGAAATGTTTTATTACAATAGACATGTTTGGTGTTATTATAATATACATATTTAGTGTACATCTAGATTTAATACTACACTTTATCACAGTTCCCACATTGGGCAGGGTCTAGTAGGCACCCATTCTTTGCCGACCGTCGGATTGTAACGACCTGCTTGAAAGCAGTGAGGACGACAAACTGGAAAAGGATAGGCAGGGTCTCAAGCTGAGAACTGTCCAAAGGTTTACTTTCTCCATCTTAAAAAGTTATGTATAACTTTAATGTCATCAATAACACCATCTCAACTCTACTAGCCTAAACAAGTTCATTTTAATTTTGGTTAGATTTATTCAATAAATCTTGTTCATGTTGTTATAAAATAGTTGAGTAAATTGTGTACTTAGGTCCAAGTGTCTTTGTGCATATTAGTTTACTTCAGCTGACACATATTTAAATCACTTGATGGGGGCTTTAAAATAATGTCAGGAGAGAAGAGAGTAGGAGGGGTTAACTGTGTATCTTGATCATATCACAGTGGGTTTATTCTGATATCTATCTATCCCTTCTCCTACTCCTGTAGATACAAGTACGGCAACTTTCATTTCATGGAACGAGCCACTCGCTGTTTTCTTGGCTATCCAGGACTGTCGAGGATCAACATAGCCTAGATAATAGTCCAGTTTCTCACGTGGGTGGGCACTGTTAAGGTTCAAACCCACACCCTCAATATATCAGTGTATTTACCATCGTGGGCTCGCGACAATGATCATGCCTTTCCACAATTCGCGATCTCCTGCAGCATGTATTAGTTTGTGTGCTGACACACCTCCATGCTCCTCCGAACTGTACACGCTCTCCCACAAGGCACTAACCACGTCTGCCTTATCATGCATCAGTATTCCACCAAGTTCTGCAGAGCCAGCCAGTCTGTCCGCCTGTTCATTTCCCAACACACCGGTGTTTCTTAGTGAACAAATCCAGACAGTACTCCTCACCCGTGTCCTCTGCAATAAAGCATGCCAGTTTGCACGATGCATGCCTGTCCTGACCTTCAGCACACTACAGGGAAATTACATGCTATCCAAATTTTGATTTGGATTAGCTTGCTATTTCATAGACACATGCTCTTAGAATTTTTTTCAGATGGTCATTGCTATGACAATCAAATTTCTAAATTCCGTTGAACTGTTTCCATTGGTGTATTTTACATAGCCTAGATAATCAAAGTTTTCATTTTTTTTTTTTAAATCATTGATTGTCAAGTTTGGGTGATATACAATTGTTGTATGGTTAGTGCGTATCCTTTACAGGACGTTGCAGAACCAACCCCATCAGCCCCTGGCTGTTGTATGGTTTCACTAGGCAATTTACGTCCAGTAGTTTGCCATTGCTGCTGGACGGTCGGCTTTCTTGATACTACTGTCGAAACCAACGCAAGGCGTATGGCCCGCAGCTGGGATCGAACCCGGTACCCCGGCATTACGAAGCGTTCGCATCGACTTAGCCATAGAGCCGACACAATCGTTGTATGTTGTCATTATTTTAATACATTTCTAGACTAAATATAACTACTAAACTAAAGAAAAACAAACAAACAAACCATGTACAAACTTTGGAATTGACGGCTATAAAAATCCGCTTCCAGAATGTACTTCCGGCTTTAGGTACAGTACAGTAAATTACTCCTGCCTGTTCGTATGTCCTGACGAAATTGATATCTCCTGAAACCTTACCAGTAGAACAGACGTAATTTACCCGCCGTCTGCGCTTCGTAAATTCTTCATCAGATGTTCTTGTCGGTTTTTTCAGGAGCGGTTGCCGTATTTTGTAGCTGGAAAGCCCTCCTTGTGCTGATTTTACACCAGCATTTGGATACGGGTTTACCACATTTGACAGTATCTCTTTAATACTGTTGTAACTCTGTTGTTTTACTGAACCTACCAAAAAAAAAAAAAAAAAAAAAAGAACAGAAGAGATGTGAAAACAACTTATCATATGGATTACGCAAGAAAATTACAGTAGTGCTCCGTATTCGTTCGCTTTGGTGTACGTTCAAACTGGTATAAATCCTGTTTAGACGTGTGTTTTAAATGCATTAGTTTAGAATTGCGTCTAGAACTTGTGGGAGACAAAACTAGTCATGACACCGCGCGCTATCTGAATTTACCTCCCACTATCTGTATTTATCTCCCACTATCTGTATTTATCTCCCACTATCTGTATTTATCTCCCACTATCTGTATTTATCTCCCACTATCTGTATTTATCTCCCACTATCTGTATTTATCTCAGACTATCTGTATTTACCTCCCACTATCTGTATTTACCTCCCACTATCTGTATTTATCTCCCACTATCTGTATTTACCTCCCACTAACTGTATTTATCTCCCACTATCTGTTTTTATCCCCCCCCCCTATCTGTATTTACCTGCCACTATCTGTATTTACCTCCCACTATATGTATTTATCAGCGGCGTCCATGGCTAAGGCGTTGCGAGTCCAACTCGTAACCCAACGTACCGCGATCGAAACCTGCGTGGGCTGCGTGGATTTTTATCGTGGTATGGGACGTCGCAGGTCGACCCAGCCTCAAATGGGTACCAGGATGGGCTGTCCTGGGAAAGTAAAGACAGCCGGCGTAATGCTGACCACATTACCCACAGAGTGCTGATGGTCTGTAAAAATATGGGACGCTCTGCCCATATGCCCGATGCGCCGAAAGGCGTGAAAAGGGAACTTTACTTTTTTTTTTATATGTAATTATCTCCCACTATCTGTATTTAAATCCCACTATATGTATTTACCTCCCACTATCTGTATTCACCTCCCACTATCTGTATTTACCTCCCACTATCTGTATTTACCTCCCACTATCTGTATTTACCTCCCACTATCTGTATTTACCTCCCACTATATGTATTTACCTCCCACTATATGTATTTACCTCCCACTATCTGTATTCACCTCCCACTATCTGTATTTACCTCCCACTATCTGTATTTACCTCCCACTATCTGTATTTACCTCCCACTATCTGTATTTACCTCCCACTATCTGTATTTACCTCCCACTATCTGTATTTACCTCCCACTATATGTATTCACCTCCCACTATATGTATTCACCTCCCACTATATGTATTTACCTCCCACTATCTGTATTCACCTCCCACTATCTGTATTTACCTCCCACTATCTGTATTTACCTCCCACTATCTGTATTTACCTCCCACTATCTGTATTTACCTCCCACTATCTGTATTTACCTCCCACTATCTGTATTTACCTCCCACTATATGTATTCACCTCCCACTATCTGTATTTACCTCCCACTATCTGTATTTACCTCCCACTATCTGTATTTACCTCCCACTATCTGTATTTATCTCCCACTATCTGTATTAATCTCCGACTATCTGTATTTATCTCCCACTATCTGTATTTACTTCCCACTATCCGTATTTAAATCCCACTATCTGTATTTACCTCCCACTATCTGTATTTACCTTTCACTATCTGTATTTACCTCCCACTATCTGTATTTACCTTTCACTATCTGTATTTACCTCCCACTATCTGTATTTACCTCCCACTATCTGTATTTACCTCCCACTATCTGTATTCACCTCCCTCGACACAAAATGCAGAGAGTTTGCAGAGTAGTATTACCTCTAACAACGCCTAATTAAGCCGTAATGTCATTGTCTGGAACCACCAGGTGGGAAGGTAACATCACAGAAACTCTACAGCACCACGATGTGTTTATGGTCGAAGCAGCCAGAAGAGTACGAAGAAGGACCTTATATCTCCCTCAACACCCGAAGCGGTAAAAGAGGGCGTAAAGAAGAAGAAGAAGAAGAAGAAGAAGAAGAAGAAGAAGAAGAAGAAGAAGAAGAAGAAGAAGAAGAAGAAGAAGAAGAAGAAGAAGAAGAAGAAGAAGAAGAAGAAGAAGAAGAAGAATCAAAGCCTTTTGGACAGATTTTTTTTAACTAGAAGTCAAACCTGATGTGCCCCTACCATGTCCAAGTAGCGAAAAAAGACCAAAAAGAGAAAGAAAAAAAAAGCACAAGCGTTTAAGATTCCGAAAGTTTTATTGGAATGGAACTATCCTTCCAAACAAGAACATCTCATCTTCCATTCTCATCCCCATCCTGATGACTGGCCTCTTCTAATGAAGATACATTGAAGCTAAACTTTCATTTATTTGATCTAATTGTTGTTGTATTTATGTACTTTAGTATCATGCGGTATATAAATCTCTTTATACAGTCCCATCAATGTATAATATAAACCTAACAATATGAGCCCCCCCCCCCCCCCCCCCCAATCATCTGAATGGATTAATCATTGTTCCTTTATTTCATATAGGAAAGTTTAAGACAGAATCAGGAAAGGATAATGTACATATTACGAGGCACTACTGTAAATGTATCTTATTCTTTTTAGCGTTCAATGGCTGTAAATTATGATGGAAATTTCTGGTTGTGCACCCACTTCTGAACTTTGGTTTAGTTCCAATACTTGAGATCGCGTCTGCAACCGTTTTACAATTCTGATTTATTTGTTTGCAGACTGTTGATTCCGCGCCTCACAGGCAGATGTGCTCCGACTTCGAAGGAAAGCATCCAAATTCAATCGCTTTTTATAACTCTTTCATCAGCAGACAGTCGCTTGTTACTTTACCAAAGTGTATGTATACTTACTCAAAAAGACACGAAAGAACGATAAGTCCGATTGGACATATGTATACGAAGATAATGCAATACTACAAACCTAAATTGCCCATGCTGTCCAAACTGTTACATAACCATAGGAACAGAACCACAACTACCAACATGATGGCGAATCTACAGAACCAAGATTTTGGCGTCCAATTAAACATCTTGAGGTCGGTATCTGTTCAGTATCATTCAATTATCTCAATGTATCGTATTACATCGTTTAGTCTTTCTGAAATGTATACAAATGACGTATAATTACTTTATTCTCACATGCATTTTATCTCGTTTGTTAATATAGTATTTACACAGGTTACACAGTCATGAAGAAGTTTGAGGTTTGAATAACGGAATTCTTTGAATTCTCATCTAGGCTGAAATGTTAAAATCATGGCTACCAAGTAGGGTCAGTCTTGTATTGTAGCAGGTTCTGTTTTGTGAATTAAAGGTCGCCGGCATAGTGTTGACCACATCATCAGAAGAGCGCTGATCATCATCATCATCATCATCATCATCAATTTCCACTTCTGCCGTAAAGCGTTGTGGGAAGAAACAATTTGCGATCTACTGCTTGATAAGCAGCAATGTCTATTGTTATTCCGTGTCGATGCAGAAGCTCTTTATCGTCATTAATACATTATCTAATAGGGCTCTTGCTTTCACTGCTACATGATGTTGTTCCTACGTTGATAAAATCATTTCTAACTTTGTCTTTTATGTTTAAGTCGGAAGCCTTTCTCAGGCATCTCATTTCATAGGTGTTAATTTTTTTTTACAAACGTTCTTTTTCTTCAGCATTCTGAGCCCTTGAGGTTCATTGCTGCAGATATCACCCGCCTCCATTCATCTGTATGGCTGGCCTTCTCTTTCCAGTTGGTGACACCAAGTGTTTGCAGGTCTGTATGAATATTATCTCCCCATCGTCTTCGCGGTCTGCCTCGTGGTCTACGACCATTCATCTCCCTTGTGTATACAGATTTTATTTCTCTGTCATTTGACATTCTTTCAAAATGCCCCAACCATTTCAGTCTATTAGCTCTCATTAGTTATTAGTGGTGATTTAAACAGATTATGAATAACGCAGGTTAGTCTTTATTAATGTCTAAGTCTGGCATTGGTAGCACAGTGTTGTTTCTTGGCGCTCATTCGGAAGGCATATAAACCTTTTTGGAATCAAGAAATTCAAAATACTATATCTGAAAGGAATAAAGCAAGAATATTTCTCGAAACTGCACGTTCAACAGAAGCAAAGATCCAATACAATAAAGCATGTGCCAGAGTAAAGCTTGTAGTTAATAAGGCTAAAAGAGATAAATGGACAGAAACTTGCTCCAACTTAGACCTTAGACAGAATGGAAATAAAGCATGGACTTTAGTTAAAAACCTCTCCGGAGAAAGTAGAAGGGTGAACCCAAAACCAGTGACAGATGGGAGTAAGACAATCACTGAAGACAAGAAGAAAGCAGAACATTTCAATCATTATTTTGCCTCGGTTAACAGAGCAGGTAAGCTGTCAGAACTCGATAGAACACAGCTCTCTCAGTTGAAGAAACAAGAGAGAGCTCCAACAGCCAGCGACTCCCTTTTTGAAAATGAATTTAGCATGGATGAATTAGAGCAAGCCCTGAAGAAATTAAAACCTAGAAAATCTCCAGGCCCAGATAAGATCCACAACGAAATGCTGCTACATCTTGGCCGGTCTGGGAGAGAAGTAGTTCTCAGGCTTATTAATAAAACTTGGAGGTCAAGCAAACTTCCAAGGGCATGGAGGAATGCATATATCGTCCCCATCCTTAAAACCAAAAAGCCTCCAGATGACCCCAAAAGCTACCGCCCGATATCCTTAACATCATGCTTGGGCAAAGTTGCAGAAAGAATGATAAACAGGCGCTTATATTGGTTCCTTGAGAGTTCTGGTGTTCTATGCCATGAACAGGCAGGCTTCAGAACCAACAGCTGCACAGAAGACCAGCTGTTCAGACTG